GATTCCGACATGATATCGTGAACCTCGCCGGCGGCAGCACTCGGCATCGCGCAAACCTCGATGAGACAAAACGATGCTGAAGGCAGCAATAGAGCGGACTCTCCGCAGCCCGCCGAGCCGAGCAACGCTGCGAGCTGATCAGAAATACACTCACACGTAGCGATTCACGAGATGACTAGGATTTTACACGAGGAAGGAATCGATCACAGCGACTGCAACACTCACCCGATTTCGATGTAGTGCGGTCGATCGAAGGGTAACATCCTAACCTACAGTGTAGATACAGCAAAGCAAATTCATATCGGTGTTGAAGAGTATTATCGATCAAAGTGTCCAATGCTGGCTCGTTACATAGGGTGGCTCGCGACGCCGGGAGGGACGTTAGGTCACTTCTTCCTCATCCTGTACTGGCGTGACTCCTGGTTGTCATTTTTTTTAAGGTTTGGATGGTTTCCACGCGACGAGTGGCGGAGAGCGGGGCTAATGCTGCACTGACGGCGGGAGTTTATGCCCGCCTTCACTGTTCAGTGTTTAGCCCCCCGAAGCTGGGCAGAAGCCAGGCTAGCGCTTCTATAAACAGGTCCCGCATGCCATGCTTACTCGAGCATTCAGCAAATCAATCGTGTTGGTAGGGCGTTGAAGGATTGCTTATTTTGAACTCGTCATTCAATTACAACTACAAGGACAGTGTGTTCGGCCCTAGACCTCAAAACCATAAAAGCCCTCAAAGTACCGAAACGCGGGCCCTGACAGTAACTTTCGTATTTTGCATCATCATCGAACGACAACCAACACATTCGACAAACCCATCATTTCTGTGCGTTGTATGGCCCACTGACTCCAGGCTCCACCTTTTCCAGCTCAGCGATCAATTCGTCCCAAAACCTCCGCATGAGCTCGGGACCTTGGCGGCCCTCGACAACCTGTGAAGGCGTGCGCACGTCGCAGTCCTGGAGGTATTTCCCATGGGTCTCGGGGCCTTTGACGGCAGCATCGACGAGGGTCATTCCTCCGACCTCGGTGGTTCGCGCGATGCGGGCTTTGACAAACTCGACGACAGCGCTTCTGCTATTGCGGTCGAGGGTGCTGTGGCACCATCCTGGCGTGAGACAATTGACGACGACGCCGAGCTGATTGAATGGATCTGTCGCGGAAACAGTCAGCGAGATGGCCTCATCTCATTGTGGGCTATTGGTCCTTACTTCGACGAGCGAGTTCCCGGACGATCATGACCTCCAGAAGCTTGCTTGTGGCGTAGCGGCCTACCATATCATCCGTTGGTGTATTGAACTCTCTCAGAATGTTGTCAGACTTTTGCTCCGACAGCTTTAAATAGGTCAGCAACTCATGCGTCCAGTAGGTGTTGCTTTGGTGATGAATCCTACGTTGGAAAGGTAATGCATGTCAGAGGCAACAATTGTCAGGTCTGGGACCGTGCTGAAGGTCTTCGCCGTCTCCTGAAGTTTAGGCAGGACCATCAAGGCGAGGAGGAAGGTCGAGATGACATTGATCGCGATGGTGTTCTCGTGTCCGTTCACGAGCTCAAATTTGCCTGCCATGACACCTTTAGGGTGGCGTTAGACCTCATCGATATGATGAGCGAAACTCCAAACTAACCCGCATTCTCAATTACGATGTCCAAACGCTCTAGGCTGTTGGCCCTCTTGACAAAGCTCCGAATGCTTTCATAGTCTGAAAGGTCTAGCGGCCACACCTCGATGGCGGTCTTTGCATTGTTGGAGGATTTGATGATCTCGGTCTTTGCGGCCTCGCCCTTCTCTACAGAGCGGCATGCGATGATGACCTTTGTTGCACTCAAGCTGACAAAGTGTGCCGCGGCCGCCTTGCCAAGTCCGACGTTGGCACCCGTGACGATGACGGTCTTTCCGGAGCAGTCCACCTGAGGTAAGCTAGGGTGGCAGAGGAATTGTGAGTAGAACAAGCTCCCTATGAAAGAGATACTCATGGCTAGCAGACGTCGGTGAGATGTTGTCGGTGATGGTGAGAATTTGTGGAAAGTCTGTCCTCAAATTGCCCTATAGTGAGATGTAATTGGATGTGAGCGAGATCGATAACACACAGTGCATGAGGAGGGGGCTGACCCACTCAGGCGAAAGATGGTGTCTTTATATGTTCAGCGGAGGAAGTCGCACGAAGCTCATCGCGGCAAGATTCCATCCAAACGGCAACACGCTTATCAACAGCTTGCTCCGGTTTCAATACAATGTTTGCTCTCGCTCGACCGGCGATGGCTCGAGAGACGGATTTATCTCCGTCCGAATATCCCGGAATTCTCTCCACATGTTCGAGACCGAATTGCTCGGAAGCGACGAGAACAACGTGTCCCGCACGTGGGGGCTACAGAATGATGTCACGCCTGGCGTGTCTACGCTAGATGTTCGTTTGTTTCGTCTGCTGGGCCGATCGAAAGAAGAGTAATCTCGAGACGCCTTTTAGCACTCGATGGATTCCTAGATCATGAACAGGCAAACGGAATCTCGCTGATAGACAAACATCAAAAGATCGGTGCATCCCGTCGAGATCATGGGCTTTCCCGAGTCTGGCCCAAGGCACACCTGAGCATGTCCTTGGTTGCTGCACGGCGATAAGCTTATGCTTATTTACGTGCTGACTTTTCCATCCAAATTCGGGCAGTGTTGGGCCGTTGGCTATCGTGGAACAGCCTGTCCTTCCGATCATCTATTTTCACGAACCGGACTTAGCGGGTTCAGGGCTGACTTCGATAAAGCCGATCATGACGACAATGCTCGTGTCCTTCACACCTCAGGCATTCAGGACTAGTTCTTGTGCGCGTCCTGCTTCACTGTAACGACATGTTCACAGCGAATTCGATGCCTCGTCTCGGAAATACCTGAGCCGAGATACGCTCATACTGTCCAATAGTCCGAAAGCCGTAATGAGAACAACCCGCGCCATGAATATTTCGCGTAATATACACTTATTCAGGCCGAGTCCAGGACCCCGCATTTTATCCCATCCCGGCTGAGTCGTAACAGCACAAATGAGGCATCACAGCGTCGAGCGTAGACTTTCGTATATCACGAAGTACTCTGTTCTGCTGACGATTGCTGGTAAGCACATGACGAGGCTTATACTACAGGTTTACGATTTATCCCATAGCATTCACATCTTCAGCTCAAGTATCTGAAAGCATTGCGATCAGGAGAGCAATCGATTCAGTATCAGTGACCATTCTTCAAGGTTCCAACATGTCGCGACTACAAAGCCTCCCTACCGAACTCGTAATCGAGATAATGTGTGAATGTGCAGATTTCTTGCCAGTCGTACATTTGTGCTTAACTTCCCATGAACCACGGCAGATCTGGACTGATGACTCTACGGCCATCGCCTGCGCGGTATAGATTTTCACTCGCTCGGAAATGACGGGATTCCTAGAGCTTGCTTGACTTGAGGATCCGGAAAGGGACTAAAGTCTAACAGATTTATCTGACCTTGACACGCTTGCACGTTGTCACCTCCCATGGCTCGAGCGCGCAGCATTCAAAATCGCGACCATTCGCCTAGGTTATGCGGAGCGAGTTCTGGCAGAACATGGCAAGCTCTCGGCAAATTTGTATGGGCGTCATAGCCAGCCGCCTGCTTTGCATCAAGAGTTGCTCGCGCTTCGAAGGCTGGTCGCCGGCTTTGAGCATTGGTCGATCTTGTCTACCGCTTTGGCTGGGACGTTTGCCATTCATATAGCGTCCATGGAGGTCAGATCTTGTCCTGGTGATTGCTATTACTCATACGATTCGGTGGTCGTCGCGCAACACGAATGTACTCAGGATGCCTTTAGCCGCGAGAGGATGCTTTCGACGTTTGGAGAGTCTCCATACACAGAGGCAAGACGTGCGGCTCAAGAATTATTCTGGAGAGACAACCCAGATGACTATCCTGATCAATGAATACAAATGTGCCATCTGCAGACATATTTATTCCAAGACCACTAAGTCTTTCATATCCATGTGGAAATGTGCCAGTTGATCTTGAAGCCTGCATTGCGGCATCAGAACCATATCCATTGATTCTGTCACATTGACCTGGGCTGTCGAGCATGATCAAGACGCAGGTTGAACGCGACCCACAATGACGAACCTCGTTTCAGCAAAAGCTTAGGCCGAAACTTGTCCCCAGCCTTACATGATCTACCCGACTTGGTCGAGGCCTGTAGTTAGACTCACTCGATTCGACCACACGTACTCGGTGTTTCGTATAACCAATACATCTATCATCTCAGCTACATAGCATTCATAACTCTCTCCATCCATTGTAATTCCCTCCTCCTTGACAGCCTCCCGTGTTCAGCAAAATCAGAACTTTAAATAAGCCCAAGTTCTCCATCCACAACCCGCGGCCTGTCCCGCGTCTCTCTTTACGGTGCCAACGCCAGAGAACATTTACGCTTCCATAGACATGGAATCTCAATAATCACCAACTAAGGTTCTAGTCATGCCAATCTGTATCGAATGCAGATATCCCGTGAGCACACTTTATACGACATACAGCAAAGCCGATGACAAGGCGCTCGGCAAGGGCGTGCGTTTAACACAATGTCCGCGCTGCAAGCGTTTCGCGGATAAATACGTCGAGCATGATTTCGTAGTGTTGTTTATTGATTTGGTTTTGATCAAGCCGCAGGTGAGCACTAGCCATTCTGCCATAATTGAGCTCTGTGCCTTGGTCGAAGAAAAGAATGGAATACAAGAGGGCGAGCGCTTATGATGTTCATAGGTCTACAGACATTTATTGTTTAACAGGCTTGGCCGCGATGATGATAAGTTTGATGTAAGAGATCTGTTTACTAGAGCTCCTCGATTTATGGGCTGAATCTTGAACAATCCCAGCCTTCAATCAAGCGACTGGGCGTCCTTCTCCTACTATTCGATGTTTACTTGACATGGGCTCGTATCGAAAAGGCCACTCCATCAATACCATCTACATCACTATCACTCTCAACTTCCGCCACAAGCAGTGCTAATACCAGCCTCTCCGCCACGAACGGAACGACAACGCTTCTCGGCGAGGCACTACCTTCCAGCTTCCTCGCCTCGCAGCCGATATTACTGCAATACATCTTCTTCCTGGCCCTATGCGCTCTCGAGACGGCCTCATTCCACATTCCAATCCGAGCTCTGCTATGCTTTCAATTCAGCCGACCCTTCGCTTCCATCGTCCCTCATTACCCACGCCCAGCATTGATCAGCACCGCTTTGCTCGTCTCGAGTTTCACCAAGTTGTTTCCGCTCCTACTGTTAGTCTGGAACTACGACCTCCCAAGTAGCGCGAGCGCCGTGTCCTGGGCTGTCATCATCAACAACATCGCTGCGCTCGAAATCCTGCTCGACTGCGGATACATCAAATCGACGCTACTCTGTGGTGTAGGCGCGATCTTTCGCGCGAGCGTCGGTTGGGTATGTATCTACCTCTATCTTTACCTCCGATCTTATCTGACAGTAGTCGCAGGGCATCTTGCGCGCCGTGGGTGTGGATGGTGGAGTAGCAGCTGCGGGCGTGGTCGAGACCGGAGACATCATCGACATATGGAGACAACTCACGGATGCCCTGGGGTTGGCATGAGGGGCCGAGTGAATATTTGCATACGTAGCATTGTACAGATTTTACTATAGGCACAGAGCCTACAGCTTATGACTTCCTCCCTCAACCATTTCTGCCTGTCTTTCTAAGCTCTTCAAACCGAATCCCCTTAAAACCATAAACGCCTCTTTCGCCGAGTTGAAATGCCATGTTTGTTTTCGCTTCAGAATAGACTGCTGCCTTTGACCGGCCCTCCGTTGAATTCCGGTCGGAGATCGCTGCGCTCGGGGACGATGAGAGGATGCCATTGCGCGAGGAAGGTAATGGCTAGATAGCGGAAACGTTAGCTGGTGAATCTCCTATGCGTAAGAATGAGGACAATGTTCGCGCACCCCACATGAGCCAGCAGCTGACAACCGAGAGGATGACTGTTGACCGCCAGATACTGTGTGAATAGAATGTTAGCGGGAATAATCTTTGCGTTTGAGTTGCCTCGCGCGCGGAAACGTACGTCTGGTTCTCGCCTTTCGGGCTGAAGAACCACGCCGCGACGCAGATCGCCACGATGACGATAATGCTGATTATAAGACTCCAGCTATGGGTTTGTCAGTCATGATACAGCATTTCATGCGCAAATCGATGCGTGCTGCGTACCCGTTCGCCATTATTGGATTTGTTCAGATGTATGTGCAGTAGCTCGTCTGGTATGACGGCAGGTAGCTTTAGACGTCCGATCGGCTGAACTTCGGCAGCTGCGCATCGACTTCGTCCTTCGTCAACGTCGAGGGCAATCACAACGTCTGTCATTTTAACTTCACGTTGATGGAGGCGTAACTGCGAAGTTTGTGATTTCTAAAGAATAGTCCGCTACGAGATCGCATCTTACGAGCCAAAAAATTATTCATCTAGGTACAATTCCCGACCATGACAGCGTTCTCCCAGCGCACCGCTTTTATAGCATGTACGGCATCCTCCGCCATTATGCAGCAAAAGAGGTGCTGTCAGACCAGCTGACAAGAGCAAGACGGCAGTAAACATTCCAGAAAGCCGCCGAGCGCACCGTTGACGTCAGCCGAGCTAGGGGCGGTCACGAAGATAAAGATACATGCGCTTCTTGTTCACCATTTGCCCCAAGATGTCGTAGTGTTCGGCAAGTATCTTCTGAGGTGAAGGTCCTCCAGTACGCCATTTCAAGTTTTCCACGCGTTCATAAATCGGATTTTGCGGGTCTCTCTTCACCACGATTAAGATAGATGGGTACTCGGCAATGCAATTCCTTTCGGCCTCAAATGTTAATGGGATCGCCCAGTACCGAGGCTGGCCGTCCTGGTCTGGTGACATTCGGTAGCGGTCTTTCTGGACTGCTCTGGTTTGATTCTTTGTGCTAGCCTTCGGTACTAGTGGGATTGCAGAAGCGTGGATTTCGAGTCCCCAGCTTGTGACGCGGTTGGCGTATGGTCTTTGAGGAGATAAACCTGCATCCGAACGTCTGCCAGGCATTTGAACTCCAGAACAATGGTAGAAATTTTCCGGGGACCGAGCTAGAACACCAGAATTTGTGACCTGTGAGCGATTGACGGGCACTTCCCAGGCAAGGATTGATTCGCCAGGGACAGTTCTCAAGATCTCAAGCTGAAGCCTTTGGAAGGCCTCCTGACGTTCGCCATATCGCATGTCCATGCTGATCTGGCATAAACCCAAGAGACTGTAGGCGCGATCCTCGATCATGGTTGTTTCTCTCTGTGCTGCCCAGGACAAACGCACAGAGTGGGGATATCGCTTGAACGCATTCTGGTCGGTCAAAACGTCCTCGGGTATGCGAAACTCGTTTCGGATCAACGAGGCCAATTCCAACTTGGAGCCGATGGGATCCCACGCGCGGTTGTAAAATATCAGGGCTTTTGGGGCGATGAGCTCCTGCAGTGTCCACCCTCGGGTCCACCACTTGCTGTTTTTCACTTTTTTATTTGACGAAGTGGTGATGTCGTCCAGATAGGCAATGCAGGTCCTTGCTCGGGCATACCACTTGAACATATTTTTGATCGCGTCTGCAAGCTCTACAATGTCTGTTCTTTTGTCGATGCAGCACGTATCTACCCAGGCCCATTGCACTCCAGCCTTTTCTCGGGCAATTTCGCAAAATTTGACGATTTTCTTGAAGCCTTCAATGTTCATTGCTCTCTGGTCTCTTGTCCGGAGTGCTTCTTTGTATCCATGGAAAGTGACCTCATTCTGGCCCCATCGATGAGAGAGAATAGCATATGGTGGAACTCCAACCTCTTCGTTGTGCTCTTTGATTTCCAGGGTGAAGGTGTTGATGAGCCTCATGATGCTGATCGAATGGCGTGATGATTTTGGACAGACTTGAGTGTGTAATGGCGTATCAAACGCTTCTTGCACTCAACGAAATGGGTCTTGGAGAATTGCGATTAATATGAATGCGTGCGAGCAGGACTGCGTGTCAAACGAGTTGTCTGCTTTTCAACTAACCAGACGGGCAGGCTCTGGTCTATTTATGTCTTCAGAGAACCTACAGAAACAGTACGATGGTGTTCAGCCATTGGTATCCAAAGATAGCAATCCATGACCGAGTAGCCTTCGCGCTGCCATTGACGCTCAATCGGCGTCAAATGATAACTACGCGCGTGTTTGCACCCTCGAGATGTCCAGGACGATGCCTATCATCAAAACCTGAAACAGCGCGGCACAGTTGCGCGAAGGCATTGGCCACGATGCATTGGCATTTGCCAGTCAGCAACCAGACGGCACGCCATGGTCAAATGGAGTGACACCTGCACGCGCGCATCTGGGTAGGATCTAGGTCCGAGCGATCAAGAGATGGCGATCGGAGGTGCCTGGGTAGTCGCTCGAGCCGTTAGAGTTGAGACCATTACCCTCGCACGCGCCCCTAGTCCATTTTGAGCCGAATGCGGGCAGCCGCCCTTCACTCGAGGCACTCTCCGGCCGGTTTCATGATCTTGGGCGAGTTAAAGGGTCGGCGGGAGCTATTTTCGGCCATTACGTGGATCTTGTGTAAATTTCTCGATTCGTTGTCGCAAATATTTGAAATGTGTTCGGCGAAAAATCCACATGGACGTTGAAGGCTCGACGACGTCACGTGAAAAGAAATGCGCAACAGCCGGGACGGGTCCGCGCGGCGTGAGCGGCTTCCCGAATCGATTCGGACGGTCCCGATGGCAGGCGTCGGCGAAAGGGTCCCGCCGGGATTCGTCGTCATACTGTCTCAACACCCGGACCCGCCGACGTGACACTTGACATTGTGGGGAAATTCTGCAAACACCTGCGAAACCCACACGCAACGCTCATCGCGCCGTGGTCTCGATGCTAACGGAGTCAAATGTCGAGAAGCTAGAATGCACAGAAACGACGCGACACCAATTCCGGCAAGTTTTGGCAGCTGATCTTGGATTTGCGGCAAAATCGCCTTGCGCACAATACTTCAGCCACTTCACACGCATAATCTTGGACAAGCGCCTGGAGCTTCCATAATAGTAATATGGCAATTGACAACTTCTACTCGTCACCTCCGTCCGAACCTCTCGCCAACGAAGAAAGCAAGACCTTCTATCCTCTCCCGATACCCATCAGCCACTGGCAATTGCGTCATTTCATCTCCGTGCCCGCATCGACCTCATCACGCGACTTGGAGGAGGACTTCTTGTACTATGCAAGTGGACCAGACGTGTACTGCTTGAACAGAAAGAGCAGGAAGAGGAAGCAGGTTACAAGTTTACCCTTCGATGCGCGCTGCACCGCCAGCGGGTACGGCTGGGTTTGCGTGGGAGGAGATGATGAGGGTCGGTTCGCAGCGTTGAAGTCCGACGGCACCACTGAGTTCGAGGAAGCGAGTGACAGACCAGATCCGCTCCCAAGAGATGTCGAAGGATGGCAGCTCGTTGAGAGAGGAGGTGCACCAGGTGCACGGGTGGAGCGCATCGGCGAGGACATCGTGAACTCCATTTCAGTCCACCGATTGACATGCCCGACGTCGCATTTGGAGGATACTGTCGCGGTACTCACCAACAATGACAAGACGGTACGCGTGTATTCTTTGCTGCTGGGGCAAGAGACATGCTGCAAAGACCTTCCCTTTGCCATGAATCACGCCACGATCTCGCCGTGTGGCACTTTACTGGTCGCTGTCGGAGACGAGCCCAAAGCATTCTTCTTCCGAAGAGAAATGCTGAAAGAACCACCGCAAATTCCCAAGCCGCATAATCGGTTGAACAGTGCGAGCGTAGGCTGGCAATTGATATATGCGGTCGACCTCCACGTTACTCCAGCATCATCTGTGCCAATGGGTTTATCACCAACGCAACCAAGGGGCTACTTTACCACAGCCTGGAGTCCAAATTCGAAACTCTGCGCCGTCGGATCAGAGGGTGGATACATCACCGTTTTCGACGCCGATCTTCTACCGGAGACGCTGTCAGAAACAAGCTCATACGACACTGCTATAGTGGCTGTAGTTCCTGGCTCTCGACCAGATGATCCTTCACCTCACCCGGGAGCCATTCGAAGTATGATTTTCAGTCCACATCCCTGGGACCTACTTTTCTGGACAGAAGACCAAGGGCGGATATGCATAGGAGATCTCAGGACCGGTTTGCAAACCAGGCAGATTGTGGAGCTTGAGACGAAGGAGATCAAGAAACGTGGTCGGTATGCCGACGTAGGTGAGGCGAACCAAAGCAGCGACCTGGATCAGACGATAGGAGAAAGCGGGCACGAAGATGAGATCGGCGAGATATGGTTGAATCACGCTGCTGGAAACGGTGTGCAAGGCTTTGACCATGACGACCTTGTCAGATTAGAGACAAGTGCGGGCAGCGCCAATTTTGCGCGCCAGTATCTGGAGACCCTCGAGGAGCGTAGGCGGCTCACGAATCGAAGGCGCCAACTGATGCAATCACAACCACAACCGTCGTCGTCAAGTTCGACTCGCGGCGGACTGACACCGCGAGAAGAAGAACTTATTGATTCTCTCAGAGTCGGAAGGCAACGCGAAGAACTACGCGCGGCCGCTGCTGGAACAACTCCGAGGGGCGTCAATTATACGTCTGGCGTGCTTTTCTCGGGAGGTGGTGGGAGCAGCACAAGCGAAGACAGCACAGCACGACTTCTACGGCGGACGCGAAACGTCGTGAACCTGCTCCCGGGGAGAAACCCAGCCGCCCGAACAACATCCACATCACAACCTCTCACTTCCGACGAACAATCCGGGAACGAGACCGTCGAAGATGACGAGGACGAGGACCACGAGGAAGAAGGTGACGATGACAACGACGCCTGGCGGCCCATCGAACGCCTCCACGCCCAACAACGCCGCGCCGATCGCGACACCCTCTCGGCCGCGCGCACCACCGCGGCCACTTCCCGCCACACCCGCGACAATCCCACCCGGCCACCAGGCCGCCACCTCCGTGTGCATTCCTCCATGTATCCCCCCCGCCCGTCCTACGCCGCCTACGAGACCATGTTCACCAGCCGGCACCTCATCGCGAGGAACCGGAACGGCACCGAAGTCGGACCGCGGACGACGGGCTTGGCGCTGAGCGGGGACTCGCGGACGTTGTTCGCGGCGTGTGAGGAAGGCATCTTTGAGATCGGGGTGAACCTCAAGGGGAGGATGTTTTGGACCGCGAGGGAAATCCGGTGAATGTTGTTGTTTTTATTTTTTGGGGCGGTTCCCCGAGTCCTATGGTGTCATCAGTCCTTGAAAAACCCATTTCTCTTCTCTTCTCTCCCCTTCACTTTTTTCTCTTTTTGTTGCTTGAGATTGTGAAGAAATCACATGCGATTTTCATTGCATGTGGAACGAGATATCATGCTCAACCGCGACTTGCCAGCTAGTACAGTAGCTTTGGCGATCTCCGAGATCAAAAGTCTATTGTGATGAATCGATAGTTGCGATCGGCCATCCGGCTCCGTGGCGAGGACCCACGTCCGTGCAGTAGCATAGCAGGAAGGAAGCCAAAAGCGAGTTAATGTTGGATGCGATAATCTCTCACGAGGCTTCCTCGTTCTAGCTTTCAGATCAAGTGGAACTCTCGCTCTCGCTCTCGATGACGAGATCGGTAGCGCTTCTTTTTTTCGAATAGATTTCATGTCTAGGCGATCAAACGTATAATTGATGGTAATATTTTTAAGGTGCGCGAGAATATATAATAAAGCCCAATCCTCTTGGGAGCGCAAGGTTCCACCCGTGCAGAAGTGGATTCTTCACGAGAAAACGTGAAGACAGACAGGGTCCTGGTGAAGACGGCAGGAACGCCTTTCTTCTCCGCTTTACTTGTTGTTCCTTCGCCTACGTACCGGGGCGTGCGCGTGTTTGATTGGCACTTTGGGTACGGCATCTGCACATTGTGGAATAGAGGGGACAACACTCATCACCTCCACTGCTGTCTATCTCTGCCTTTGAACGGTATGTATGTATAACAATACATGACTGTCTTGCGTGTTCGGTGCGAGATGTAATCATCGGTCTTTGGGCACACACAACCGCACACACACACACACACACACACACACACACATTGTTGTTGGTATGCGCCATCAAATCGCGCCCGACGATGACTTGCACAGGTGACCAGCGAACCACTCCTCAGACATCCATCTAGTGGCCGTCTGTGCCGGGAGGTTTTCTTCGACAGCCCTGGATCAACGGTTCATTCAGGCGTAGCTTCCGGTGGTTCCCATCGGAGGGCTGTCCACCTCCATCGGTCTGTCGTCTGCAAGGTTGGTTTAAACTAGGAATGGATTCACCTCCCCTCTATACCTGTAGCATAGCCGCCTAAATGACATCCAGAGGTGCTGCCGCTGCTTCTCCCTGCAGGGTAAAAAGTGAAATGGAACGAGATCCAGACCCTGCAGTCTCCCCGCGCCAGTACGACGCCCTGCAGTACAGAGGCAAGGATTTCTCGTGTGCAACTGGGGAGCACCGGGTCTGCCGAATTTTAGGTGAAGAATAGAGGAGTCCATCCGCGTGCCTAGGTAGAGTTGATCGAATTCGAGTTGGACTACATGTACCTCGACTTCCCATCAAATGCTCAGTGGGGTCGACTCATCAAAGCACAATCGATACATTCTTCCAGCATCCGAGCGAGAGTGCCCGCCCCGTCAAACCCGCCCGTGTGCAGTACAGAACAGTATCCTGCCGACCGAGATACATCGCATCCAGCAATTCAGCTCCCACTTGCACTGTTACAGTCCAGTACAGTGCTCAACAACATCCACGACGCTTCCGCTCCACCTTTCCGACCGACCCATCCACCTTCGTCACAGGATCACCACCTCCTCCTCCTCATCTTCATCATCATCGCTTGAGAGAGAGAGAGAACCGGTTCGGCTCCATTTCGACGAACCTATAGCATCTTAGCCTGAACGCATCGCCCGACCGCACACACTTCATCACCACCACCACCACCACCATCACACCACCACCTGCAATATATTAACACGCTCGTCCTGCCCGTGACAATTCCGTCGAGGACCTCCTGCCACTGATCATACCTAGTGTCTCCTGCAAACTTCGACGACGTGCCTCTCGTCGCGCGCTTCCGCTACTCTTGCAGTAATAAGCGTCCGGACTAGGAACTTCTCATCGACTGCTCAACCACTGGCTACTGCACCGTGTAAATCTCAGGGTTCATCCATCGACGTTGCGCGCAATTCAACGCATTCGCCACTGCCTCGAAAGCAAAACCGAAGCATTGCCCATGGGCGCACGACGTCGTCTTCCAGTCTCTCACGCACGGCCGTGGATTGTGTCACTCTTGCCCGCTACATGAAATCGACGGAATGGAAAATGGCCCTCCCTCTGATGTTGCGCACGAAGTCCAACATGGCGTGAACGACGCCTGCGATGGATCCGCCCGCCCACCACCACCGCCCGACCCCAACTTGAACGATGCCAAAGCCAGCACGTCGCCCTCTTGCGCCGAGAAATCCGACACGCCGCTCATCCTGCAGAACGAGCATTGGGATGTGGACGTCATCTCCTCCGTCGGCGCATTGCGCATGCTCATCGAAGCCGTGGAGAAGCTCGCCGAAAACACCGGCGACGTGCCTCCCACCCCACCCGTCTCCCGGCCCGGCACGCCCAAGAAACCCCAACTCCTCCCGACGCCGAGCGAGCGCGCCGCCAAGCGCCTCTCCGCGACCGTCCACCACGCCGTCGGCGCCGGCGACGTGCCCGCCATGGAGATCGGCAGCCCGGAGGCCCTCTGCCACGAGCCCATCACCGTCGACGTCAGCCAACACGCCGAGGACATCCGATTCCAACACGCGGCCATCGCGCGCCGCTTCTTCTCCAAATGCGCCCCGCCCTTCTCCCTGCGCAGCTACCTCATCCAGATCCACAAGCACTGCCCGCACTCGCCCGGGGTGTACCTGGCGGCGGCGGCGTACATCCACCGGCTGTGCATCGTCGACTACGCCGTGCCCGCGACGCAGCGGACGATCCACCGGCTGAGCCTGGCGGCGATCCGGGTGGCGGCCAAGTCGCTCGAGGACAACAAGTGGGCGCAGGCCCGCGTCGCCCGGGTCGGCGGCGTCTCCACCCTGCAGCTCCTGAACCTCGAGATCACCTTGTGCTTCCTGCTCGACTTCGACCTCCACGTGCCCCGCCCCGCCATGGCCAAGGGCATCTTCGGCCTGCAGACCGCCGCCCGCACCGGCCTCGGCCGCGGCGGCATGATGGGCTCCCTGGTGCCGAGCCTGCGCCTCCCGCCGAGGAGGATCCGGAGCGGCGCGTGAGGGCGGCGCAGAGCGAAGCCGTTTTTTTTTCCCTTCTTTTCTTCTCCTCACGGTTGTATTTCTGGGAATTGTATGGCGTTGATCGGATGGATGGATGGATGGATGGTTCAGGCGGCGTTCGATTTCTGCGTCTCTCTCTCTCTCTCTCTCTCTCTCTCTCTCTGCGGGTCATCTTTTTGGATCTTCGTCGCGCCTGAACGCACGAAGAAACGAGACGAAAAACAAACAAACAAACAAAAAACAAAATAATACCCGGTTTCCGAACCCGAAAGAATATTCTTTTTCCCGTGTAACTATCACCATGGGACGCAAGCGGGCCGGTGGGTCGATCGGTAGGTGGTGACATGGTATGTACGTGTGTGTGTGTGTGCTATGGAGTGAACTCCCCCGATCTCGTCGGCACTCACCTTCCCCTACCCCCCTGAGCGATCGCACCGCACCGCACCGCACTGTTATGCCATCTCTGCCCCACGGCCAGATCCCGCAACGAGAAAACGACGATGGGGAAAACGCGTCGATGTGCGCCGCAGAGAAGGGACGGATGACTTCGATGGACGACCGCCCGGCGCAAGCGGAGGGGATTTTCTTCTCCTCCCCCTCATCCTCCTCCCCATGCAGAACAGACAATTGCAGAATTCCCCCCAAAAACCGCTCTCGGTCCGCGAAAGGAATTAAACGATATCAACTCTCCTCAACACGTGTTTCGTTTCTTCGACGGACCAACGCCACGGAGCTGACGACTTCGGGCATCGGAGAAAGACAAGACTAAAGACAGAAGGAAAGAAAGAAAAAGGAAAGGGAGAAAGAAAAAGGGAAAAGGGACATAAGAAAGAGTCATTCCTCACCACCATTGTTTATTTCATCATTGTACTTGTCCGACAACGAGGAGCTGGCGATACAGACAGGCAGACAGATAGACAAACGTCCGCGGAAAAGTCCTGTCACAAATATCACCGCTACTACCACCACCATCATCACTGCTGCTCTCTCCTCTTTTACCCTTTGATCGGGTAGGTGAGTGATTGAGCGAGTGGAAAAGCAAAAACAACCCCTTGGACGTGGTGTCGTGAGGTCTACGGGCCATAAGACGTAGGTCTGCTGGTTCTACCTGTGCCGGTTCAACCATCCATCTATCCCTTCCATTCCCTCTACCCTTTTCATTTATCCATTCCTCGATCGTCATGACAATTTACTTCAATTCGATTCAATTCACTTCAATTCGATTCACTTCAATATAACTAAGAACGGAACGGAATGGGACGGAACAGACAGGCGGGCCAAGGAAAAGAACGTCATGTTATTCGACGACGCTCACCGTTGTCATCACCGCGACCACCATCTCTCTCCCTCTCCCTCTGCCTCTGTCGATCTCTCTCTCCAGTGCTTTGGGGGAAATGCCTTCTCGCTCTTCTATTGTATGAGATTCCGATGTGAACGAGGAAAGCAAATCGAAACGAAACGAAAGGAACCCGAAGGCGAGAGAGAGAAAGAGAGAGATAGAGAAAGATGGTTCTAGAATCGAGACTCTATGATCTATAATCTCAGTCGAGGCTTAAGGGAGTCCCGAGGTTCTGGCCGCAGCAGCAGCAGCAGCATTCATGTAGCAATCATGCAGGAGAAGGATGGGGAGAAGGAGGAGAAGGTGGTGATAGTGGTGGTGGTTGGGCATCACACACCCCCTTGTATGCCGTGAACTCGTGCAGGGAGATGATAGTTGAGATGGAGGTGGATCCCCACAGGGCTGAGACGTCATGGGGAATACACAGGTATCTGCGGGTGCGTGTCTCTTTCTCTCTGTCTCTGCGTTTGTGTGTGTGTGTGTGTCTGTGTGGAGGTATGGGTCGGCCGGCGCAGATTGGGTACCTAGGTAGTCATGTGTGGCTCATGGATGATATGAGAGGAATCTTTCGGACTCGGAAATGTTCTCGTCATAGGGAAGATTCGAGGACGGTTCTTACGACGATGGGTGGACACAGAACTCAACTGAAGCAGACGGTATGAGTATATGCGTGTGGCTACGTCTGCGGCTGCGCATGTGGCTAGAAAACACAGCACCCTTCACTCCGCCGTCCTCTCTCTCCTCTTCTGCTGTTCGTTTCGTGATATTATCAAGTGTGATAGCCAGGGAACGCGCAGTGCAGAACGGGGCCAGCTGAGAACGCGTCGTCCGCGGACGAGGATCTGTGTACTTGGGGGCGCATCGCGACGCGCGTAGAGAAAGAGAGAGGGATCGTGGCGCAGCTTTTCCCACACTGCGAGTCCTCGTCCTCGTCATCCTCGTCTTTTCCAGCCACGTACGTGCAGGGACAGAATGGATGATCTGGGCACCAAAGGCGCCACGAGAGACGACGAGCCTCGACAATCGTTGTGGTAGTGTCGTCGTCGTCGTCGTCATCGCCTAGACTGTCTCAAAACGCACGCCGCGACGATCACGCTCTCGCATGTCCATGTGGCTTATTATCATTACAGTACTATCCGCGCGTGTGCGGGGCGCGGCGTGCGTCGAGAAGCCAGCTGAAGACTCGTCGCTCCCTCCCAGGCAGAAGACATTTCCTTGCGGCACAGGGAGATATAAGGTATATGCGACGTGTGTGCCGCAATCTTTTGGAGATTTTCCCTCCGAGTCATCGGATGCGCGGGTGGGTAGGCCTCTCAGTCTCTTCCGGCGGAGAGAATTGCGACTACGATTTGTTCCAGGACACGGGGAGAGGAGTCGTCCTGTTGTCTGGACGGTTGGTTTCTACGGGAGAGGACGATTGCCGACCAGCGACGAACACTACGCGACACAGACCTCACCGGGCTACAGTAGGAGCGAAACGAGATCTCTGTCCAGCAGAAGGGACATGGCCGAAAGGAGACGGAAAAGATGTTGGGTTTTCCATCGTGGAGATCCTGCTGACCACCCCTTTGCCAGGTGAGATGTGGCTTGTGGAGGGGTCGTCTGGGAGCAGACTGAGCCACTTCCCCAGCGATTGTCCACGGAGTGGTCGAGTGCGCCTTGGACGACGTCGCGCATTCACTCCAGCAATGCCGCAGCGGGAGGAAAGATGGTTCAGCCACAGTGGATGATTTGGCTATGTTATACTATGCTATGCCATGCACGACATAATCGCATTGGGGGGTGAGACGCGCGTGGATCGAGACGATGGCCGTGATGTTGGATGCTGCGGCCGATTTACGACTCGGGGGCATGCGAAACGACGATTGGAGACGGGAATTTGGCAGACACATTGGGGACTCGTGTACTGGATTCTGGTTGGTTTGGTGTGACTTCAACGCGGTGAGTGACTGTATGTAGCAACCAGTCGCACGAGGTCGTCAGTCGCACGGCATCATTCGTCTCCATGTCGTGGATGGTCATCATCATCACCACCATCGTCATCTTCAACACTCACGCCTTATTCCGTTTCGCACAAGGGATAGAATGGGAGGGAAAAAAAGGCAATGTTGTAGTGTCGCCGCCGACGACGCCGACGTGCAGATGCTAGACAAACGTCTGGTGGTCTGGGTTGGTGTTGCACAACATCCTATGTAGATCCCCCTGTGGTTGTTTCCATCATCCACGAGAGATTTAGTCCACGAAGACAACACAACATCTGGCATCGTCGTGGACATTGCGCCGTCTGGTCTGGAGACTTTCCTTCCATCCCCGAGCCTCCACGACGGGCCTCTCCTCTCACGTCGCACAGCAGGAGGCCGGCCCAGGCTGGAGACTGCGTCCGTCGCCCAGAACTCGTGTCTACGCATCGTCTGGTATGCAGAATGGGGGGCCGAAACGTAGGCAGTCGAAGTCGAAAGAGAGATCCATTTGTTACTGTAGCCGAGGAGAAGACCCTGGCCTCGACGAGGAGCAGCAACGACCGTTCCGAAACGAGGTGGACGGAACTACTCTACACTACACTACACTACACTACGCTGTATGACTCCGATTCTCATGTTCGCGTCGGTGGGTGTGGAAGAAGAGGGGCCCCGAAAGCCGGGCGCGGAGCAGCAATCAGCACCTGGGCTGCTGGCACGCGCAACGAAGCCGCCCGCAGGCCGCCCGCTACGTCTTTTCGGTCCTGTCCTCTTCGCAAGCCCGCCCGCCCGCTCCGTCATCAATTGCCCAGCGATCGCGCGGTGAGGCGCTTGAACCGACCACTTGGAGGAATTCCCGTAGGAGGAACTGGAGGAACTGGTCCTGCTTCTGCCCGTCCCGTCGTGGAGACACTGTCGATGTAGGGCTGGACGGGGTGAACGACCAGTGGACCAGCGTTGCGCCATCGACGGTTCGTTCTGTTCGCGTGGGAAAATCCTCGACATACCATGTCGCTCTACACATTACATTCCCACCCGCCAAAATGATGTCAATCGTGCAGGCCGTTGTTCGACGGATCCCGATACCACGCTGTGGAGGGACGGTGGTTTGCGAGGCTCCGAGTCGTCGTGCTCACGCTGAAACTCTACGGAGGAGGCACAGCGCCGCTTTTGTCTCCATGTACTGTGTTGTGACTGTTTTGTCCCGCTCGCGACCTCTTTTCGCGCCCGCGCATGAAAGTCACCCAGCGGTCATATTCTGGACCCTGTTTCATGTTTCGATTGCGCGCGCGTTAACATCTTCTCGGCATGATTCGCATGAACTCTTTCGGGATCTATTGATGGCGAAATCCCTATGCATGACATCCATGGGGATACTCTCCGCCTCTGACATTGGCCCGTCAGATGGAAGGAAGCGGGACGAGGTGATGTGGTGCAAGGCAATGGCAGTGGCAGTGAATGGGTACATGGCCGCGTACAGGGTAATGCGATTGATTGACAACGACCCTTCCTTCGACGTCACCTGCTAGATGACAGTCACAGAATGTGTTCCGTGTATCCATCGTGAGGGTTGATCAAGTGACTCCATATGAGGCGGATACCATTTCCATGTTACAGACGGCACCACTGCCCAAAACACACGTTGTGGACAAAGAATGATCCACACAGAGAGAGCCAGAGAGAGAGTGAGCCTGGAGAGAGAGAGAATCGCCGCGGGAGGAGGCTCCGGAGCGGCGCATGCACCCTTCCTCCAAGTCCCGCAACGGCTGTGCAGAACGCATAGACACTTGCGCACACACACACACTTCACGGTCAGCATCGCTTTCTCCATCCTCAAAGTACATTCCGCGACATTGTGAAAGTATCGTCGGGCAGGAACGCCATGTACAGAAAGATTCGTAATGTTTTGGACCGCACCTCATGTGGCATAGGCCTCATCTTGCACAGATGTGTGCGAAGAGAATCCACAACCACGGGGTCATTCACTCACACACACACTCGCACACACGAGGATCGTTATGGGCGGCCCGCCCTGTAATGCAGTCCTACAACCGACGTCAACGCCGGCGTCAAACATCATTCTCTCCAATTGTGAAATGGTTCTTAATTGCCATGCTTGTCTGGCTCGTTGCTTTTTACCTGCATTTACGACTGACGGATGAACACACAATCTTCGTACCTGCATCTCCCGTTGTGTTATACATTGGTCAGATCTTCCCCGTCCACTTCCCTGATCGCCTCGATTACTTTCGGGCTATATATGAAGCCGTCTCTTACGGGAACCGCCAGGCGGCTATCGACTGTACTACTCCAACTGTTACTTATTCCGTTGCCTACCACCTCGACCCCCTTCATTACACTCGTACAGATATATCGACGTCGAGTCCACCCATATCCCTCCCCGTCATTGCTCCCTTCCCTTTCTCAATCAACAACTCAAACATATTCTCTATTCGACACTTTTCGTCTCATCTAACACCGGTTGGTCTCATTCCACTTGCGGGTCTGATCAAGGCAACAACTCATCGTCGTCCACAGATCGATATCGATCGATCACATCAACCCATCCCAACATCGATACTCAAACCAATACTCGCCTGAGCAAGAGGCTCCAACAACCATGTCGGGTCAAGGCTCCCAACATGGGAGCTGGCACTCCGACTCGGACGACATCTCGGTGTCACACTCTTCCGGGTCATCGGCTTCACAGCCTGCGAGCACCTCTTCGATCAGAACAACAACGACACAATACAAACCGGTGGATTTCTCCAAGCTCACTGGCGGCTCAAAGAGGACCTCCAAGGTCGTCGAGCTCGAAGGAGAAGGCTCGAACTGGTCTACTTCCGGTCCACCCAGGTCTTCGTCTTCGTCACACGGACCTAAGCATGACTTGACATGGCCTACTGTCAAGGAAATGCTCTTCGGAAAAAAGAAGGAGAAGTCCCGAAGCTCTCACAAGAAGAAGAACTCCTCTGGTCCGGAGATCCGTATTGCTGCCGACAGACGTGATTCATTTGAGGAGGTCGTCCCTCCTGTCATCGGTAAGGGCAAAGCACCGGCCCACCGCGACTCATTCAATATGAATCCACCATCGGCGTCGAGCGGGGGCAGCGCGGGATCCCAAGTCCCTTACCGCACAGAGATCCGCACCCCATCGTGGGCGAGAAGTGCTCAAGAACAGGCGGCCTCTATACTCGAGGATGCCCGGTTGCGCTACGAAGAGTCCCGCCGCGCATACCAAGGTGCTGGGAGAGAAGCACCTCTCGAACTCCAACAGCATCTTTACAATAACTATGTCAGAGACCGTGCAACCTATACGTCCCTCCAGCGCGGCAACGCTGCTCCTCGACCTGGCAGCAGTGCTCTCGGACATAGCATTCCTCCTCAAAGGGAACGCCAGACCAGTGCCTACCATGGCATCCCAGGCTCTGCCTACCGCAACAACGCAGCTCCGACTGGAGGCTCACGTCGCCCTCCTCCCTTTGCCTACACCGCACCCACAGGCTCACCCAGCCTCCACCAAGGCGGTGTCGAACCACGCTTCACGCCCAACTACGACGACGCCTCTTATCCCGCCGGACCGCAACATCGAGACAACACTCCCAACTCTGCCTCCAGCGGTGCAAGCGTGCCACCACGCACGACAGGCTACAGCTATAACTTCCCCACCGGCACCAACCAAACCAATATCCGCGCTCCTGTACCACCATCTCCAACCACCCACATCACCGACCCGGTGCCCAGCCCGCGCCGCCAGGACGGCCGCTACGGCCACACCTTCGTCCCCAACGAGAACACCCGCGAGGACCTCCGCCCGCCCTCCGCCCCTTCCTCCGCAGGAGATCGCGGCGCCTCCCCTCCCTCCACCACTCCTCCCTCCACCACTCCTTACTCCCAGGGCGCCCCCGTGCCACCTCCGGCCCCGACCGAACCCCGGCGCCCACGCCAACGTTCCCCTCCGCACGCCCGCGTCGAGAGCGTCGCCCCGTCGCAGTCCAGCGAGCGACAGCCTCCCGGCCAGGGACGCGCACGACGCGGCGCCTCGCCCTCGCCGCTCCTCGAGTCGATCGGGGAGTCGTCGTCGTCGTCGGTGGTCGCGCCGGAGTCGGACGACGAAAGATTCGCGCGCTTGTTGCGAGAGCAGCAGGTGAGGAGGCAGAGGGAGAGGGACGAGTAGGATGATGATGACGAAAAATGCCAAAAAAAAAAACAGAAAACCAGAAAGACAGAAAAACACTTCTTCCCGTTGTTTTCTCTCTCTTCGGTTTCTTCGGTGGGGATCTCTGGGGCGGGGGTTCCTTTTTGAGCTTTTCGATGATTTCTTGGGGTTTTGGTTTTTGTTTCGCACGCTTGGGATCCTTTCCACTTTGTTTCTCCTCTTTTCCTTTTGCTTCACCCCCTTTTCTGCTCCGGTTTTCCTTCCTCTTTCTTTCTTCTTTGCTGACAATCCCCCTTCTTTTCTTCTCTTTCTTCTTCTCCTCCTTCTTCCTTTCGACTTTTACCTTTTGGTTTCGCGATACCCGATGTTTTCATGTACCGCCTTGACAAATTTCCCTTCTTCGATGAATTTTTTGGAATTATTCTATGTTAGGACTGTACTCTTTATTTTCCTTTCTTTTTCTAAAGAGACGGGTGGGATTGGAACGGACGCAAGTCTCGGGATGTTTTTTTACTTTATGTCGGCTGTCGCGATAACTCGTTTGTTTTGATCTATGCTGTTCGGACGATGGGGATTGACAATGTAGGAATTTATACGATCGATGGGATGGGACGGATGAGGATGATGGAATGAATGGTGGAATTCGAGGGGCTTGGTTTGCATATGGGCGGAGTTTGGTCCCTCTGTTCGCGGGAGTATGGCAACATTCCTCTTCTCCTTCTGCTATAGAGGATCCAATGCGAAGTTTGGTTTGCAATCGTCTCGAGACTTCCACGTCTTCGCTGCTGGTCAAGTTCGCTTGGTCCGGATATAAAACATTTGAACAAGTCCAGTCGCATTTAGTCTTCAGTATCTTGTCATTCTCGCGATGGAAGAAGATTGACTACACTTAGGCAGGCCCTCGGGGTTTCATATTCAATCTCGTCCTTCCTCGTCATCAGCGGGTCACCCGAGGAGTACGTTCTACATCCGGTAGGGCCGGTTTGTCATCTGGGCCGCCGGTCGCAGATCTCTTGTTGCACGTCCTCGTCCTCACGGTTCTCTCACACTTTGCGCGTACGGGCTTAATTTGAATCAGTAGATCCACGGCAACAGTTTGTACGGAACCTTTCGCCGAACGACATCCCACTGCTCGCCATACTGTCAAGATCGTCAGCCAAAAAGAAATCTCGAAAACAACCTTTGCAGTTCGAAGATGACGGGAAAAGAACTCACCCTCTTCTCACAATACGCATCCATGTCCGGAATCGACCGCGAGCAGAAATCCCCTCCGATCCAAAGCGCCGTCGCACCCGCCCACGCCCAGCCCCCCGACGCAAGGCTAGCTCCGGTCCGCCAGAGCGTGAAGCCCCCGTAATTGATGTTCCTCGCCAGACCGAACAGTCCGCCGGAGTAAGGTCTCCCCCGATTCGCGGGGTCCTGCTTGAAGGCTTTGCGTTGGACTTCGCTGTACCATTCCGTGAAGAGGCCGAGAGAGAAGAGTCCGACTCCGATGTAGAGCGATGGGGGAGCGGTGGCGAGGAACGCTTGGAGGCTAGATTGGTCGGAGGGCTGTTGCGAAGTGGCGAGCCAGAGTGCGAGGAGAGTGTTCAGGGCGTTCAGCGCGGTGCTAAACAGTCCGACCCCGAGGGCGAGACCTGGTTGGAGAAGGGTGTCGCCTACGAAGATGTTCCAGTAGATTCGCTTGACGCTGCCGCCGATCGCCAGACCCCAGATCAGCGTGTGGTACGGGCTGAGGCCGACTGCTGTCTGCTGGGCTGCGGGGAGGATGGTCTGGGAGACGGTACGCGCCCCGAGACGATGGAGGAGGGTCGCGGCCGCACCGGATTGCAATAGCCAGTGCTGGAAGGGAATGTCTAGGGCGCTGGCGCCGGAGAAGGCGAGGATGCCAGCGAGAGATCGGCCTTTCTTGCGGTTCTCCCAGAACGCTTGGCTCGGCTCGTGTTTGGTCGGGGTGGTCTTGTCGGCCATTGAAAGGTGGGTACCTCACGAGCGTGAGGAGGAATGAGAATCAGAGAGGTCGGATACCTTCTGTGTCTTGTCTGGGAGAGAGTGGACTGATGTGCAAAAAGTGCTATCTTGATTAGAGGGAACGACTATCAATGGGATTGGCAAGCTTTTTATGGTACATTCGCGTCAACGCTGATCGCATATACAGTAGCTGGGATGAGCATATTGCAGTGTCTTCATCAGCCATTCGATGCATTCCATACCGGGTTCTCGGATGTTCCTCAATCCCGGTCATTTCATGTTCAGATAAACGCCGTCAGGCTCTGATGACTGGCAGCGACTGACGATGGCTTATTTGGCTGACGTTTCTCGTGAGCCACATCTGTTCACTAGATCAGCTGCTTATCTCGGAGCATGCAGGCTGACATGAGCCACAAGGCAATAGAGTCAACTCAGAGCAGCTCATCTGGCTTCTTGGCCCCACCATATACATCAACGTATTGACGTGAACCCATCAAATATTGGTGGACAGCCATCAAACTGGAGAAGCACCACCAAAAAGCAACACAAGTGTCCAGGCGGCTCGTTAATATCGTGCTTGTAAGCCACTGCGAATGAACCGAACCTCAGAGTTCCGCGCTCCACCAGGGTACAAGCGCCGAGGTTTTCCCGTGCACCTCCGCGGCGTTGCCATAATCTGCCATTGAAACATCTCGAGAGAATGATATCGACTCGTGAGTAGAGGAATCGCCGGCGCAAATTGCTCAAGGTCACGTCACTCAGTCACAATGCACATCATCTAGCGACGGGATAATTTCGCAGCAATCATGTCAAAATCGATGCGCTCGCCGACGGCGCGGCTGCTCCAATCATCACGATTATTCTCCCTACCACGCCCGCTTCCAACTCCAGAACTCGCACCGGTCACCAGTGTGGGCGAATATCGCGCATCACCCTCGGCGACGTTACCGTATCCCACTCGACAAGCCATCGTCACAACTCCATCATCACTTCACCGTGGTGACTGGGGATTGAAACGACCTTTGCCGGCCAAGACCACCCAACGAACATCAACGCCTCACGTTCGTGTCCTCGCTCACGACAACACCGAACACATTACTGCATTCCAAAGCGCTGCTGATCACACGCAAACTCGAGCCAAATTCACGGAGATCAACCTAGCTTTTGGAGTCCAAACATCAGCAGACAGCTACAAGGGTTCAGAGGGATTCAAGAGTGCATACGATGCCGATGTAGATGTCATTGATCGGTCAGAAACAGGGGCAGACGCTATGAGATGGAAGAAACAAGGACCGGAGTTGGAACAGATGCATCAAGGTGTTTTCGAATTGTATCTGCAATCGCAGGTCGTCCCTCGAAAGCTTGAATTCCAGGAGTTCTTGCAGGATTGGTTACTGCGGAATCGTATCCAGGAGGAGGAGGCAGCACTACGTGATCAGGGCGAGCTTGCTCAAGTCTCATCGGCACAAACGGAGGAATTCCGTGATGAAATCGTCAAAACTTTCCCCGAACAACTTACACGATTGCGCAACGAATATGTCCGCTATCGACGGGGCTCTGAACTGGCCCGGGCCATGACCGAATTTTTGGACCTCGACGTGGCCCCCGCGGAATCTCCGCAAGAATCAGCATTGACCTCAGGGAAACTTCTGGGAAGTCTCAAACCCAAGAACTCGCGCAAGCTGCCGACTACGCATCCCGCCGCCGGCTTGTCATATCTGCGAACCAATGACTTCATGCATAATCATCCTCTGTACGGACCACAGGACTCTCGCGAACCAGTCCTCGCACGTGTATTGCTGCCCGCCTTGCGCACTGGTACTAAGGTGAACACCTCCTCGAACGCCGCTGCCATCGGCATAGCAGGAATCGTCGCAGAAGATAGGACTTTGAACTCCGTATTCGACAAGACCACACAGCTGGACGAAGGTGACCGAGCATACATGCAGGCGGGCAAGATGGCCAACAAGATCGAACCCGACCGGGAGGGCGGAAACAAATACTTGGTCGTCGCGCAATCGGCGCGCATGGACCCCGAAGGTCGCGTCATCATCAAAGTGCGCGCGGCTTCGGACGACAGCATGAAGGTCAAGTTGGGCCTCGGCGAGGAAGTCCGTCTGATCAAGTCCCAGAAGCCTACCGTCGATGTGCCGCGCGCGCGGCCGGTTTCGACGCGCGCTCGGATTTCAGAGTCAAACGATGAGGATTCGCCCATTTTGCAACGCGCCCGCCAACGCAATGCATTTGCTGCCCAGCGGCGATCCTCCTCGACCGATTGGGATAACTTCAACAAGGAGTAACGCTTCTCGGTCAGGACACTTTGCAAGCGAACCTCTTTCCCTTTCTCATTATTCTAGATGTGTTAAAATTATGTACAAAGCAAGCACGCTGTATTCTATCGAAGCCATGTCCATTCAGTTCGCATGTGATACGTCTCAGCAATTCCTATAGGCAATATCAGTGATCGATGCAATATCATAATTCGTGCCAGAGACGTTCACACTGCTGCTATGAACTTTTGGCGACAGTGCCCAATTCAGATCACGATGTGACCCCAACCCTAAGCCACACACGTCTTCACCTCTTATCAGTCGCAACCACTTCTCGAATATCATCCTCAACAAACATGACCCGTAACATAATGGCAGCAAAGCCGATTGCAAACCCAGATCTTCCTCCTGCGCCTTCGGGAAAGTATCCGGCCAAATCGCATGTGCGTCGAGTAGCCAAGTGGATTGCGGAAAATGGCGGACCTGCGAGCGGAGTCATTTATCTGGAGGGGCAGAGTTTGAAAATGGTTGAGGTATACGCAGACGATGCCCCATGATGTTCCTAGAAACGATTTGCTAAGATTACGATATTGGTACAGGATGACGACCAAGCGACACACTTCAGGTTGGTAGCTATTGATCGACTACACACTAAGTATCAAGGTTGACAATCTACTATTCCAGACAACGTCGACATTTCTACTACCTCACCGGATGTGACTTACCCGACTGTTTCTTCGCGTACGACATCGCATCTGACACATCGACATTATGGATTCCACCTGTCGATCCCGAACATGTCATGTGGGCTGGCATGCCGCTCCTACCAAAGGAAGCCTTGGAACGATACGATATCGACAAAGTCCTAACCAGCGATGAACTGAAGTCCGGAAAGTCTCTCGTGTCGATGCTCTCGAAACAGGAAACCGTTGTCCTGGCCATCGAAGATCGCGCAGACATGGCCATCTTCCACTCCGAAGCCCTCGCAGCTTTCAACCCATCAATCAACCTCCTTTGGGCCCGAAAAGCAATCGAAGCCTGCCGGGTTGTCAAAGACGATTACGAGATTGCCCTCATTCGACACGCTAACATCGTCTCATCCTACGCCCACGAGCAAGTCCTCCGCTCTGCACCCAGGGCTACCAACGAGCGAGAACTCAATGCCGTTTTCGTCATGCACTGCCACGCCAATGGATGCCGCGAGCAAGCCTACGGCTGCATCTGCGCTGCCGGGTCCTCCGCCAGCAGTCTCCACTACGTGCACAACGACTTGCCCCTCGAAGGGAAACTCAACATCCTCCTCGACGCCGGCTGCGAGTACAATTGCTACTGCTCCGATATCACGCGGACCTTCCCCATCACCCGCGACGGCAAATTCACCCCCGAGAGCAAAGATATCTATAACCTCGTGCTCCTCATGCAGAGCGAGTGCATGAAGATGATCCGCGCAGGCGTCCTCTGGGAAGACGTCCACATGACGGCCCACCGCGTCGCCGCCGCCGGCCTCCAAAGACTCGGCATCTTCAAATCCTCCCTCAGCGTCGACGAGATCCTCGCGTCGGAGATCACCACGCGATTCTTCCCGCATGGGCTCGGCCACTACCTCGGCATGGACACGCACGACGTCGGCGGCAACGCCAATTACGCCGACACGAACCCCTTCTTCGCATATTTGAGAATTCGTGGGAGACTGCCTGCGGGTGCGGTCGTGACGAATGAGCCTGGGATTTATTTCCGGAAGTATCCCCTCGAGGCGGAATTGGAGGAGGGCAAATGGGACAAGGTCATTGATCGGGAGGGATTGAAGAGGTATTGGGATGTGGGAGGTGTGAGGATTGAGGATGACATTTGGGTCAAGGAGGATGGGTATGAGAATTTGACGACGATTAGGAGCGATATCCCATTTGTGGAGGAGATGGTTGTTTCGGGTCTTGGTGGGATGTGAGAGGATTTGTGTTTGTGGGACCTTGAATGTTTTGGGCGGAGTCTGGTCTTTTGTTGGGGGAGTTGTTGGACGAATTGACGGGCTAGGAGATCTCGCGAGAGTTCAGCACCGTGTGGATGGAATGATCTTGTGTGAAGCTCGCTTGACCGGTTGATCTTGAGATTATACTGTCGACGTTGCTCTATCTACATTTTTTCGGATACTCATCAAGCTCCTGGGCATGAAGCAAATGTGTAAAACGAAAGAAAAGTTCAGGATCAATTCAAAGGAACACCCAAGACATACCTGACAATGGCGTGCTAACGCGGGGAACCCCAACGCGGTCCATACCCCAACGCGGTCCACAATTTTGAACACAACAACGCGTCAACTTCAACACGCAATGGCTACACCAAAACGCGTGCAATCGTCCCTAAAAGAGGGGAGTCTATTGCTTGCGATGTCAGCTGTCAGATCAGGTGCCAGCCGCTCCGTAGCAGCGGCAGCGAGAGACTATAAGGTCTCAAAAACGACGTTGCTCCGGAGACTCAAGGGAATCCCCTCTCGAGAAGATTGGAAGCCAGGGACTCTGAAGCTCAGTCCTATTGAAGAGAGTGTCCTTGTTCA